CGAGCTGCCAGCCTGGGTACCCCATATGTACAGTAGGAAGCTGGGAGCTGGACACTTAGGCTAGGTGTCTGTTTTCTTAGTGATTGGCTGGGAGCTAGAGAGGGTAGGGATGGGTCTAGGGCACTATTAACCTACCTTCCCAGGTGCTCAGGAACCAGCACCTGCAGACACTTAGTGAGCAGGTGTGTGAATGCCTGTAACCACAAAGAGTCTAGGATCACCTGCCTATGGAAGCCTCTCTTCATTGTCAAGCAAAGCTGACATAGTTCTCCAAACCCTTTTTCTTGGGGCTTGGGAAACCCATGGTTCCAGTTGACCTATTAGCAGGGAGAAGGGTAGGCTGTCTCCTAAGGTTTGACACTTTTGACAGCAATGGCCTTCAGGTGCTCTCCTTTCTGTCTAGCATTCTGACTCCCTCCCCACTTCCTGGAAAACAGTTAGATTCCTGGTTTCCAGGGCTTATCACAAGGGGGGAGGGGCAAGGGCCCCAGGCCCAGCCCTTACTCTGTAATCCTGAACTCACACAAAACACCCCTGGGTCCAGCTGCAGTGGGGAGGAGGCAGTTAGGTCAGGCCATGGGTGGGAACAAGGCTCAGCCTCTCCTTCCAGGCCCCACCCCCACTGCTGCTCCACAGGAATGCTGGGCACAGGAATTGGAAGCAGGTGTGGGCTGCCTGGCTGGACTTCTGGCGGCCTTCTGTTCCCTTCCTCTCCTGCTTGTTCTAGCCATCGCCTGGGGAGTTTTCCATGTGTTCTTGGCTTGGAAAGGAAGTGGGGTTGACTCCAACAGGGTGCTCATGGGGAGAGGTGCCCCTCCTGAGTCCAGAGGTCTGTGAGGATCCCCCCACAGGGCATCAGGAGAAAGGGGGGGGGCAGAACTTTCTAGCTAAGCCTAGCAGTAGCCTGGTGCCAGCAAAAGCACTATGGACTCTCCACTTCTAGCTCTGGGATCAACCCCAACAACTGGGGGGGGAGAGGGGACAATGTCTGTAACCTCAAGGCAAAAACAAAACACATTAACAACAACAACAAAGCATTGGGTCCCCCCTCCCTCAGAAGTTCAGACAAGAGTCACTGAACACTGAGTTAGGTGTCCCTGTAAAACACTTCCCTAAAGGGAAGTGAGGGCAGGGCAGTGAGTGTAGACACCCTTCCTAGGTCCAGCTTGACTGCTCATAACTGTGCCTTGGCTTCTCTGAGCTGCAAATCCCTCCTGTATAAAGTGGGTGATGACACTGTCCTATACTGTAACTATACCTAAGGTTGTTGGGGGGCTTAAATGAGAAAATGGGAAGAGTGCTTGGAAGAGCATAACTCATTTACAAGCAGTGGAGGCTACCATCAGACGTCCGTTTAAACAAGAGCCAGCTCCGCAGAGACGTCCAGGCTGAGGGCAGGGGAGTGGAGGCCATATGAGAGGGTAGTGAGCCAGGAGACAGGAAGTGGGGGGGCGGGGACAAGGAGGCTGCCAGAACCCTGCTTGTTCCCTCAGACACCCACACCCACTTACCTGTATGACCCTCTACAACATTCTCTGTCACAACCAGTACCTAAATAGCCATTGAATGATTGAATACATGAACAAATGAATGAAGGAATGACTGAAGTGTGCATGATATGCAGTAACACATAGAAAAAAAATTAAAAACAATGTATAGCTTTGAACACAGGATGAGTTCACATGGACTTAAGTCCTGGGTTCACTATCAAAAGCCAGTGAGTGAGCCCCTCATCCCATCTATGGAATGGGACAATTAACAGTATGTGGCTGAGACCTGAGGATTAGAGATAAAGTGGGAGATCCCTTGGAGCCTAACTCTCACAGTGAATGCAGAGAGAGAGGCTGTACCCCAAACTCCCAGCTGGCAAAAGGGAGGGGCTCTTGTCCTGCCTCCCACTTCTTATCTCGTATGGTATCACTGTGCCATCTTACTAGGCTCTCTTTTCTCGTCTTCCTAGGACATGTGATCTGTGTCACCTTTGTGGTCTGTTCTAGCGTTGGAAACAACAGTACAGCAGAAACCCTGGGCAGCCCAGTACTTAGCAGTAGAGGCAAGAGGAGAAGGCTGCTGAGGCAGAAACTAAGCTCAGGATAGAGACTTGGAAGCCACATACACAAGGGGGGACGTGGGCGGTGCTCACATGTGTTTGGTGTTGTAAGGACAGATCCACACCCACACACAAGCACAGGCTGCCAGTGCTGGGCCTCAGACCCCTGGGTGTGTGGCCAGGAGGGATGAAGTCAGCCTCGGAGAATCCGCCCTGGGCTCCCACACCAGGCCTGGGGGGCTGATCTCAAGTACATGGCTTGGACTTCACTGGGCTGGGATTTTCCATGATCCTAGACTAGCAGGGTGGGAGGGAGGAACCAATAATATCAGGGGAGTCTAATGTCCCTTTTCTGGCTTCTTTGGGAACCCCACACTAGCATGTATCCTAACTCCATCCCCATATCCTATTTTCTCCATGATGAGGGAAGAAGGAACTTAAAAAATGCAGATCACCTTCCCCTGAACTATGCGTGGACACCTCCTCTGAGACATCCTCCCTGAGCCTCTGGAGTAGAGGCTCTCAGCGTCCACTACTGATGTCCCCGTCCCCAGTCTAATTCACTCCCAGCTCCTGTGATTTTGTTTGTTTTTGTTTTTTTCAAGACAGGGTTTTTCTGTGTAGCTCTAACAGTCCTGGCCCTCCCTCTGTAGACCAGGCTGTCCTGGAACTCACAGAGATCCGCCTGCCTCTGCCTCCCGAGTGCTGGGATTAAAGGCATGCACCACCATCACCTGGCCCAGCTCCTTAGATTTTTTGAGGTGGAATTTAGAACTCCATGCAGAGCTGAATTATGCCCACATCAGAGTAGGTGCTCCCCCAGGCTGAGAGAGACCCTCCTCTGTAGCTCCCACAGAGTCTGCTCCCAATACTGGCCTATTCACACACCAGTGTGTCCTTTCTACTGGGCTTTTCTCAGGGCAGAGCCTGAATTTAATGCATGCCAGCCTGGGTACCAAGAAATACTGCCTTCAGGGGAGAAGCATATTTGATCCAAAATGAACTATGGAACTCTGGGGCAGTAGTTGGGGCCTGCTGAGCACCAAGTACCCCACTCCAGACATGGGCCTTGCCCTATTTATCCTTCTCTGAACCAAATGATTTCCTTGAAAATTTACAGGCCACAGAGGGGCCCTAGAAAAACCACTGGCTGCAGGCCCAGATGTGCAGTCCCTGGCCTGCCTCTGCCAGCCTTGTGGCATTTGAGGCCTTGGTTTTCTCCTCAGTTCAGAGGTGGAGCCCTCCTGGCTGAGCTGAGGTCTTGCATTCTAAGAAAAGCAGCCACAAAAGTCAAGCAGTTGATAGGTAAAGCACCATCTCCTCTAGGGAGCCCCAGGTCAAGTCAGCATAAAGCTATACTAGCCTGCTGTAGGTGGTGTCAAGCTGTTGACAAAGGGTTCAATACATTGTTACCATCGATGTTTGGCATTGCATCATAGGAGGCCCCCACTCCAGTTTTGATTCTCCCCTAGCTCCTGTGGTTTCAAAGTGGGATTCAGAATTAGACTTGGGGCTGTGCAGTGGATATAACTTCCAGACTCTCCTTCCCCTGGCCTTCAGCCCTAGAAGCCCCCAAGCAGCAGCTCTTCAGTTAGGACATCTTGGCTAGATTGAGCATTTATCCCATGCTGACAGAGGCTAAGAAGCCAAGGCTGGGCTGGGCTCCACCACCCTTGGGTCACAAAGATTCATCTTCACCTGACAGCCCTGGTATTGCAACCCTGGTATGGAGCAGAGACTTGTGGGCAGAAGGCACTCCTGAGGGTGTACTGCGTGTGCATTGAGAACTCAGTGGAAACCTTGACCAGAGAACAGCCCTGTATGGAAAGCATCAGCAAGGGGATTCTAGGACAGCAGAGGACGGGCTGATGTCCACCCAGCGCTGGCCAGACACAACAGTTGGCCCCTGTCACAGTAATAGCACATGTGGAAGCTGCCCATCTGGCAGAGGAAGACTGTTCCACCCGACCCTTGTGTGCAGATGACCCGGCCTTCCTAAGAATAGGTCACATCTTCATCCCTGGGGAAAGCCAGGGGGTGGCCTGTCTCCAGACATTTCCTGGGACTCTCTCTCAGAGCCAAAATGAAAGAGAAGCAGTGGCATATTGGTCTGGGTTATGTTTTAGGGAACATCAAAAAACACAGTACCCAAGAGAAGTAATGTTTAACATGATACTTTTAAAAATCAAAATCAATAATAAAAATATCTGCAAAGAACAAATATCCTGTTTCAAATAAAGACAGGACCCATATTGATATTTCAGTTACTGAGTCTATTTAAAATGTGGACATATTTGTTCATAATGGATTTTTAATGCACCAAAATGTTACTTTATCTTCATTACCCAGATTTTTAGTGCTCAGTTGAATTGTATGCCCTGGCCAGTGGGCTCTGGCATCCCAGGCTTATTGGACACCCCTTGGGGTCTGCAAGTTATGTCTGTTCAAGTGCTGCTCTTTGCCCTCCTACATAACTCACCAATGACCAGCCAGCTCACAGAGGTCCAGGCATGGGGACACTGCTGTACCTCCAGAAGCATCCTTAAGGCCTCTTGACCTTGAAGGTCCATAGCTCCCAAGATCTTTGCCTCAATCTTTGCATCTGACATAAAGTAATTTCTAAGAGTCTTAGGAGATTCCCTGACTGGAAGAGGGAGAGGCAGGGAGACGGGCTTTCCTTACTTGTCCCTAGATGACCCCAGCCAGATCTGTAAAGTACTTCTTAAAGCCTGGCTAGTCCTTCCTCAATTACCCCAAAGCCAGAGTCAGAATGCAGTGACCCTGATGGATAATGGGTGGATTCAGGGCATGGGAGGAGAGGCTCACTGCTGTTGGCCACACGGTTCTCGCTCAACCACTACCGGGAGACCTTTGGTAAGAGACAGAGTATCTGAACCCCTGAGGCAGCATTCACCTGTGACCAGAATGTGGAACCAAGGACAGTACTCACCGCGACCATTCTGGTTGGGTCGGTACACACTACCCACGCTGAGACGGCCCTGCTGGGCGCCGTTCCTCTCCCCACCCGGCGAGGGCGCATCAGAACTGCGCACAGGCAGGTAAGGCGGCTCCAGCACACGGAACGGGGGTTGTGGCTCCACCGCTCGTGGAGGGACATAGGCCTCGGGCTGCACATTGGCTGCATAGGGAGGGTACCAGCCGAGGCGGGGATCACCAGCATAGGTGCCACCTGCCCCGGTGGAGCCCTGTGCTCCGTCGGTGCTGGGATCAGGGTAGGCCTGCTCGAAGCCCTGGGTGCCTTCATTGTACAGGCTGTGCGAGTAGCGACGGTCAAGGCCGTCAGAGGGTTGAGGCTGAGGCTGAGGCTGGGGCTGGGGCTGGGGCTGGGGCTGGGGCAGCCCTTACTTACAGACAGCGCCTATAGAACCCAGAGCCATAGGAGCCCAGACAACCCACCCATAGCCTGACTCATTTATAAGAGACCCTCAGGCCTGTGTCTATGTCACACCCCATTCCTCCCCACTCTGCAATAGAGGTTCTTTTTTCCTGTGGTTGCTGTGAAGTGAATTTTGTTCCTTCACATG